ACGTGGGCGAGCTGTCTAAGCGAGAGGCGGTCGCGGAAACCACACGGCGTGGTTGCATTTGAGTGACGTGTCTGGATACGGCCGCCTGCAGAGACGGAGAGCAGCTTGGTGTCTGGCGGGACCTGGGGGCGGGGGGAGAGCAGGAGGAGTGGGTGCTGCCGGGTGTGGGGTTTCTTTGGGGGTGTGAGAATATCTTAAAATTAGATTGTGATAATGTTTGCACAACTCTGTTAAGTAAACTAAATGTCCGGAACTGTATACCTTAAAAAGGTAGATTTTATGCCAGAATCAGCAGCGCGTTCTTGGTGCCGCCTGCGTGCCCGCTGGGAGTCTCGGGCTGGCTGGTAGGTGGCCCTGCACTCCGTCTGGGGGGGGCATTAACACGCACACAGATCAAGTGAAGCGATGCACAGTGCAGCCCCAAAGCCAGCCCCAAAGCCAGCCCCGAAGTTTTTTTTGTAGGAAGTAACCGAATCCGAGACAATGCTGATGGCCGGCCGATGGCTGGAACAGTAACTAACAATTCAGAGGAAAGCCGAAGACTGCCGGTGCCAGCCCAGCCGCTGGCCTCTTTCCGTGTTCGCTTCCTATTATCTCTGCTCCTTTCCTCTTTAACTAATGTTACAAAATTGTAAGTGTTTTGTTAACTGTAGTATGTGGTTTAGTTCCCTTTAGACTGAGTCTGAGCCAAGGGGGTGTTCCGCATGTTCGCGACCTGACTCGCTTCGCCATCTGCTCTCTGGCTGTTGCAGGCGGCCTGGCTGTACGGGATGCAGGTGGCCGGCTTGCTCCTGGTCTGCGCACTGCAGTTTTTTAACTCCATGATTCTTGGATCACTGCTCATCAGTTTCAACCTTGCAGTGTTAATTGCGAGGAAACTGCAGGTAGGACTTTGTCCTCAGAGTAAACTGTTTAATTGTGTGGTTTGCGGCGCGCTAAGGGCAGTACTTGCTCTTTGTCGAAGTGCGTGGGGGAGCATTTCTGTTTTCAGGCTCCCGTTACGCCATCCCTTTGATGTGAAACTTAGTATTTCTTAGAGAATTAGAATCTTGATTCAGTTCAGGGATTAGCCAGAGATGCGTACTTGAATGCTGTTGACTTAAATTTCAAATTAAAGAGGAAATTTTTAAACTTTTTCCATGCACGAGCTCAAGCATAAGCAGTGTCGTCTGTGGGGATGTGCTCGTCATAGCCTCCCCGGCTGTGGGCGCCTTGTCACCGTCTGTGCAGCAACGCTGCTCCTGCCCCACACTTCCATGCCACGCCAATGTTTTTTTTTTTGTTTTTTGGGGTTTTTTTTGCAAGGCAACCCTTGGTTGACCTCACAGGTTGCAAGGACCTTGTCAGCTTACGATCCCTTATTTTTTTAATTTTTTACGCCCACAGCACCTGGTCTCCCTCGGTGGTCTCCCATCCAAGTACTAACCAGGCCCGACCCTGCTTAGCTTGCGAGATCAGGCGGGATTAGGCTTGTCCAGGGTGGCCTGGCCGTAGACCACTGATTTTTTAAGGGCATTAAATTGACGCCTTTGAGGATCTTGGAAGTCCAAATAAATATCTTCAGAAATAATGGGGCATTTCTTAGGGTGTCATGTTTGAAAGCACTGACCTGATCTTTTGGCTTTATGAAATCATTAAAATTTCTTAAATTTATGTAAGACTTAAGGGTCAGTTGTTTTTCCTTAATACTGTCACAAAGCCTGTTTTCTTTCTCAAAAGCATGTGAGAAACATTTCTCATAAACACTTTTATATCAAGAAGCCGTTTTGTTTTCTGCTTTGGCAAGAATAAATCCTTTTTCTTATCAGTATTTTGAGTGAGAGCTGCTATGGACAGTCACGAAGATGTCTAGAAACAGGCTTTTAATTGACTATCAAAAACATTAGTTCTCATTCATACTTTTAACCTTAATTATAAATGAATATCATTCATTTGAAATCTTTAGATATTATTATATTCGATAATCTGTGAAGGTATCTGAGGGTCATGAGAACACTAGCACCTGTCACAGAACGCAGTTGCCTGTCTGGTACTGATAGGTCTTCTCTTTACCCGACTACATCAGCGTGTGCCGAACACCTCCTAAGCGCAGACTCCAGACTCTGGTTCCGAAGGTCTTAAAAAAGGGGCTAGGACACAGGACACATTTTATAGAGATTCTTATTAAAGGGCCATTTACTTATTGAAAATTACAGATGTTAAAATAGTATAACCTCATGAAAATTAGCAGGTTATATTTCCCACAGGTTTTCCCTATATGTTGCATGATCCAGTGTTTCAAATCCTTAAGTAATTGTATCTTGAATGTTTATGAAGTTATATTAAAATTTAAGGGCTAAAACTGAACTCTTTTAATTTCTAGAAAAACCTGAAAACTGGAAACTTCCTTAACAGGCTCGGGAAGCTATTGTTACATGTATTTGTGGTTTTATGTTTGACACTTTTTCTCAACAACATTATTAAGGTAAGTTAATAAAATGACATTAACTTATTGTTACTAAAGTTACCAGTTTTACTTTAAACAGTCTCCGTCTTAACTTGGTTTCAGTAACAGGATCACTTTCTTGATTTTCGTCACTGGTCTCTGTTCACTCTTTAACATGCTCTACCTTGAACTCACCTTTTCAGTGAGTTTTAAACTTTTTAGAAGTTCAAGTTTAAAAGCATTAAACAAGTATTCTTCTAAATTTAAAAAATCATGCTTTTTAGAGATTATTTTCTGCACTGTGGTCCGAAAAAATCAGCTGGCCTGATTTTTACTGGGTTAAGTCGACAAATAAACCCCCTCACTGTCAGAAGCGCATCGCTTACGAAATGGTCGTGTCCCTTCTGAGAGGCCACCAGGGATAAGGCGCGTCTGCATGTGCCTGGCAGACCCCTTCTGCATGAGAGTGGCAGCCCCTCTTCCTGTGTGTTGACTATCATGGAAAAAGAGACTTCACTTAGCCAGCCACATTAGACGCTCCTCTCTGGGCCCTTGTACTAGGCTCAGTGCCTGTCACAGCCTCATCTGAGTGGTACACTAAGCATTTCCGAAAGACCGGGAAGATGGGGGCACACATCCACCCATCCCAAGGCTCTGCATGCCCGGGGTACGCACCCTGTGCGAGCCAGCAAGAGGAGCTATGCGCCCAGACCACTGTCTCGACCCCACAAAGACTAGCAGCTGAGCTGCCCCTTGGTGTTCTGCCAGTGACCTACAGTGGGAGGAATTGGGAGAAACGGTCTGAGACCCTTTGCTGCTGTGACTGTGTCCATGGGAAAACCTGTCAGGTCTCCGCTCCGGGACGGTCAGGGTCTCCTGAGCAGCTGCTGTGTCTCGGCCCTGTGGCCCCATGTGTGACCAGATGCCCGTGCCCCTGCTGGAACGCAGCTCACCTCTGCTGGACCGTTTCTGTGCTAACCTCAGTTCTGGGTTCTTCTTTTCTCTTCCAGGTTCATTTTTCTTCTGATACAATTTCTTCTCTGTTTGTTATAGGGATTTTTGTAAGCCATAAGTCAAAAATAAAATTCTGTGAATTAGAAGCATAATCATTGATGCTGAACACTGGCGTTTGTTTGTCTGCTCACTGGGTTGGACGACCGGGTCTGAGACAGAACCCGCCAAGCCAGACAGGCCTTGTGGGCCGATCTGAGGTTTCCAAGCTAAAAATTACTACTCGGTGGGCTTCAGCCATCTCCCTCCCATGAAAACAAAGTTTGTCTCTTATCCACTTTACATATAGAACTTAAGGGTGAGATTGTTTGAAAAAAAAGGGTTCTCAAAAAAAGGAACAAGGCAGCTCGGAAGTCCTGGCTTTAGGAGTGCTCAGTTCTGAGACCCGCTGTGAACATTCACACTCACGCACACGCACTACTGTGAAACTGCACACGGAGTCTGCGTGTTCGGGGGTTGTCGGGAAGCCATGCGTGAGGCGCTGTTAGCAGCTTCTGTTTCATCCCTCCCCAACAGAAAATTCTCAACCTGAAGTCCGACGAGCACATATTCAAATTTCTGAAGGCAAAGTTTGGGTTCGGGGCCACAAGGTATGACTGAATTTAAAATCTGTGTTTTTCATTTTTTCTTAAATAAAATGTTTGCTTTTTTATATTAAATTAGCAGAGACTTTAAAACTTAAGTTACCATTGCGCCTTCAGCTATTAATTTCAGGCTCATTTTGAGGAAAAAACTGTGGTTTACTTATCTAGTTTTGAATTTAATACTTTCCTTTCCACTTGTTCCCTAGAGATTTCGATGCAAACCTGTATCTGTGTGAAGAAGCGTTTGGCCTCCTGCCTCTGAACACGTTGGAAAGGCTTGCGGACACGCTGCTTTTCTACGTCTACGTGTTCGTTCTGTGCGTCACGGCGGCTGCAGCGCTGGCTGTCACCTTCCACAACCTCAGGTCCGCACGCTTCAAAACTAACGAAATATCAGACACAGAACAGTCGTGTTGCTCAGCTGAAAAGGGGACACGTCTAGTTGGAGCGGCCTGCACTCGGCAGCCAGGCGTGCGGTCACTGGTTGATGGCAGGACGTGGCGTGGACACTGCCCACGGGTGGGCTTCTGTCCCAGCCGCATGCCTGGGTACCGTGCGACCCGTCACCCTATCTGTAGACCAGGGATGCCAGCAGTTCTGACCCAGTTCATCTGGTAGCCCCACGAGCGACGTGCTGGTCGGTTACGGCGCGATCGTCCTCCACAGAGGAACTGAATTCCAGCGCTGCGGGCACACTTCTACTTTTCCTTATTCGTAAACACTCGAAAAATACCGATAACTTACAAAACGCCTTTCAAGATCTTAGTTCCGGTGATTGCCGAGGTTTTTTTTTTTCTATTCTCATAATTTAAAGGATAGAAGTCACTCTAAATTTTTACCTAAAATGAAATTTGTTAAATTTTAGTTATCCTGATTGTTAATGCATTTATGTTATGACACTTAGCCTCATAAAATGATCAGTGGTGATTCATTTTATCTTAGGAAAATAATACATTTTTAAGTATACGAAAGCATATGTTTTTTGTATCTTCTTTTAAAAAGACTTAACTAAATTAAAATCGTGTGTCCAGTAACCTTGTATTGTGCTGTTCTCTTCAGTGATCCCATAGGCCGGTCTGTGGGTAACGTGGCGAGGCGCACACTCAGCCTGAAGCCAGAAACAGCCTACAACCTGGTGCACACCATTCTGTTCGGGTTCTTGGCATTGAGCACAATGAGGTATTTTTGTGTTCATCTGTCTGTCTGACTTTTTTTTTTTTATTTAACCACTCTTTTCTTTGCCTGACATAAGTTAGCGATATAATTTGGAAACTGACAGTCATCTTCATTAATGATCGTGGTCACCATAAAATGTCCTCATCTGCTATCCTCTCCCGGGACAAAATCTCATTTATTAGTAGTTTTTTCTAGTTACCAACATTCCTCAATTTTTACTTATGACACTTCTCAAAAGACAATGAAACCGAGCGAGGACCCTTTGGCAGATGTTTCTGCGAGGTTTCCGTAAGATGTGACCATCACAGACAGAACAGCTGCCTTCACAGCTGTCTCGGGCCCCGGGTGTGCACGCAGCCGGCACTCGCTGACCTGTGCTCCGTCCCCACAGGATGAAGTACCTGTGGACGTCACACATGTGCGTGTTCGCCTCTTCCGGCGTGTGCAGCGCTGAACTGTGGGAGGTGCTTCTGAAGCTGATCCATCTTTACAACCCAAAGAGGGTCAGTGCCTCCCCGTTTTCCACTTCATTTTTATGGCTTTTGGTATTTCTTTCATACCAGTTCTGTTTTTCAGCTGTCTGATAAAATGGATACTGAAATTCGAAGCTAAAAATAGTTAATTGATACATAAAATTATGATTTCATAAGGAATTATTTTTTAATTTTAATTTTAAATTTTATTTTTTAAATCATTTTCCCCTAGACAATAAGTTAGATGTTCTCATTTTACAGAATTTGGAAATACTGAAAAGCACAGAAAGAAAAATTAAAAGTCACCAATAATCCCATTATCCAGAGTTACCACTATTGTAATTGTACTGAACTATCCTAAAAATAATTATTGTGTGTGTGGCGATGACTAATAGCCTGTCCATGGCGTTTTGCGTGTCCTGCCCTGTACACTCGCTAGGTGGCGGTATGGTGGAGAGTACAGGTGTCTTGTGCGTGTCCCTTACACTGCCTCGGTTGCTTGATACATTGGAGACTCATGCTCCATTAAATAATATTTCTGTTGTTTAAAGAAAGTCATATTTTTACAAAGCAAAACTTTAAGGCAGAAAAGTGTTGATAACACTTGTCCCCTACGTGACGTCTTCCCTGTGCAGATCTGGGTGCTGCGGTATTCCGTGCCCGTGTTGGTGCTGCTCTACCTGTGCTGCAAGGTAAGACATTTTCCCCGTCCCGTCCCTGTCTCCGGTCTGTGTCGCAGGAGGGTCACTTTGACTCGGTGTGCTTTGTGTGTTACTGGCCACTGGCTTCGACTGCAAGACCCATCTGTTTCCCAGATAGTATTTAAGAAGTAAAGACGCCATAGCAAAAACGAGAGCGAGCGTACGTTCACCTCCGTGTTCTGCTAGGTGCTCGCTGCCACCTTCGTAGGAAGGCTGGACACACGTGAGTAGGTGCAGCTGAGGCGAGCCGTGCTGTCTGTCGTTCGGTCTTGGTAGGAAGCCGTGACATTGCCCACACGTCACCTGACCCGTCTCTGGAATGGCACTACTGTGCTTCAGTTCTGAGATGCAGGTTGTTAGTCGCCCCAACTGCTTTGGCTCTTGCCACATCTTGGCTATGTAGAGTCTTGACTTGTCGCCTGGGCAGGGAGCCTAGGCTGTGGTATCCTTTGAGCTCTCAGTGTCTCTTTTTTAAAAGATCTTATGTGTTTTTTTAAGTTTAGGTGTTTTTCTCCAAATTTTGTTTTAAGTTGGAACAGTGGGTTTCAAAGTCGGCCGTGCGTAGCCCTGTTTTGGGAAGGCGTCTGGGGGCGGCCATAGCAGCCAGCTTTGGGTTCATTCGCTTATATTTTCATGTAAGATTTTATTTGAAGCAAAAGGTTTAGGCCAAAAAGAATGTTTGATTATCAGTATGTTAAATAATTCTACTGTCAATATTTCAAAAAATTATGTTGTCACGTTCCTGTCGATCAGTACATTACTGTCGCAGGCAGAGGAGGACTGTGTTAGCTGCCAGACACCAGGAAAACTAGAAGTATGTTAGTCCTCCCACGCTGCCCCTGGGCATTTTGCTACTGTAATGTAAATAAATGGAACTTTTTACATCTGAGAAGCAACAACAGGATCACACTGAGTGTAGGTTTGACAGCGAGCAGGTGGCTTTCCGGTCACCCGCTGCTCGGAGGGGTCAGACGCTGCCCCCATCCCACTTCGGAGTGTCACAGCAGAGTCCTCCCAGTGTCCCTGCGCGGGGCTGAGCGCTTTCACATCTCAGCTACTCAGTTGAAATTTTATTGATTTTTTTAAAGCTATTTGGGGTCTTAAATCTCATTTTTGATAAAGCTGAGGAAGGACGTAGTTGAAGAGGTAAACTACACTCAGGAGCAGTGGCTGTCAACGTGCAGTCCCCAGGTGAGCGGCGTCAGCGTCCCCTGGGAGTCGTAGGAAGTGCCTGGGTCCCACGCAGACCTGCCAAGCCAGGAGCTGCAGAGCGGGGACCGGAAGCTCACACCTGGGCAGGTCCCAGCGGCGACACTGCCGCCGTGTGGGCCGGACGGTTCTTTTTCATAGGGCTCTCCCTCTGCACCTGCCCAGTGGGTACCCGGGGCACCTCCCCCAGCTGTGACCGTCACAGATGTCTCCAGACGTCGCTCAGCACCCCCTGGGGTGGGGCATAGCCCCCTCGAGAACCACCACTGTAGAAGAAGCAGGGTAGTGGCAACATTCCCTGAGCAGCAGAGTTGGTGTCTGGAGAACCTTCCGGAGACCATCAGCCTGGCGTCTTTGGCACAGGGCGTGAGGGGAGAGCCCGTGTGATGCAGTCTAGATGGCGCGGCCTCTAAGGCTCGCGTCATGTAAAATCGCAGAGAGTAAGGACACGATATGCGCTGGAGGTCACCCTGCAAGGGAACGGGGAGCCCGTGTTTCGGAGCCCGGCTTGAGTCCACGTGCACCCCATGTGCGGGCTTCAGGGAAGCTGTTTCCCCCGCCTCTTCAGGGTCGTCCTGTTTAAGAGGGAAAAGTGTTTGCCAGTCTCGACACCCAAGTCAAGAGTTGGTGGTGGTGTTTCCCTCACGACGGTCAGCTTTTGGGGATGCTGTTGCCGACCGTTTAGAAACGTTTGGCTCACTCAGCACTTCCCACATTATTCTAAGGCGTTCACCACAAAACTGTTACTAGACTGTGATAGTTTCAGAATCAACAACAGCAACTTTCAAACTAGAAAAGTACCTCATACCCATGGAATTCACAGATTTTGTAAGTTTTATATCAAAAGAATTAGAACACATTATAAAGCCGGTTTGTATTGATTATCAAAATCAAAAGGAATAATGAGTCATCGAAATATTACAAAGTGACCATTTGGCCAGTTGTATCACGTCTCTGGAATCTGGGATGAGCGGTCACACCGGCTTTGCCATCCTCCTCCCAGAAAATAAGATGCCAGTTAGTAAAAATGGCCACAGATGAGGTGCCGAGACGAGACGGTGAGGGGCTGAAGCACACGGGCCCGCCACCCTGCGGCAGGGGGCTGTGCTTTCCCCGTCAGCGAGGCACAGCTGCCTTGTCGCCGGCCTTCTGTCCCAGGGTAGGGAATGCATCCTGGGGCTCCCTGGAGGACGTGTGGACATGCCCAGGTTTTTTTAGCCACTTGTCATTTGACAAAACAGCGTTCACTTGATCGTGGAGCTGGGCAGACAGGCACGTTGGGTTCGAGGTGCGGGGGCTCAGACCGGTTCCACTTCGTGCCCGCACAGCCCTAAGCAGCAAGCAGGTCAGTGGCCTGCTCCGGTGGCGTAAATGTGACGTTCACACGCACCAGACATTCCCAGAGGCCCTGCTCCCAGCCCTCCTCCCCATCGTGCCTGGAATTAGGTCAGCACCCGTCAGAGCACCCGTCCCGATCGCTGGGGCAGAAAACACCGTCAGCACGTGGCGCGGGGAAGGGGCCGGTGGAGTCAGGTCAGGCGGTCCCTTTGCCACTTTGTGGCTGGTCAGGTCAGGTCCTCTGAGCCGGGGTCTCCGCACGAGGAGGCGGGAGGCTGCAGCGCGCTCCCCAGCGCTCCGTGGCGCTGGCAGACGTGGCGCTGTCTCCCCCGGGGGCGCCCAGTCGCCCGACTCCAGCTGCACTTTTCTCGCTTTCCGCCACCTCCACGTGGACGCCTCACTAGGCGTTAACAGCGCATACGAGGGCGTTTTTATCAGAGTAAGTAAAAGCTCGTCTTCAGACGCCGACAGCGCCCCTAGTCCGGCGGCAGAGGCCAGGGGTCAGCGCTGCAGCTGCCACATGTCTTCAGCCAGTGACACGTGCTTTCTGCTCCCTCGTTTTAATCTCAGTGCCAGCCGTGGGTGTGGGGTGGATTTTGTTTTGTTTTGTTTTGTTTTTAATTTCAGTTCTGGCCAGAAATGATGGATGAGCTTTCGGAGTTGAGAGAATTCTATGACCCAGACACAGTGGAGCTGATGAGCTGGATTAAGTAAGAGGATTTTTTTTTAACCTTTGAAACTTAAAGTGCCTTTGAAGAGTCACTATATACCTCCTTTGGTTTTTTTTTTTTCTTTTTTGCTTTTCACCAAATCTAATTGTGAAGATACATTCATTCTCAAGTTTTTCTTTAAAACTCTATGTTTGGAAATAGTTTCTTTCCATTCAAGAAAGTCTCTCCAACTACAGTCTCACGAGGGAGGGAAATGCCCACAAGGAGAGGAGACATGGGAGGGGCGTGTCAGACCCGTCAGACCCCGGGGTCTGCCACGGGGAACCAGAGAGCTCTGCCCTCTGCCCCCTTCATCGCTATCTCTGCTGTCACGTCAGTGCCATTCAGATGGTGCCAGTGCGTTCTCATTAACCGGCTGAACGTGACCCGTGAACAGGGTTCGTTAGGGTCGCGGCTGGCCGGTGAGGATCTCACTTTAACTGGCCACGCACGGCCCACGCCCAGGCCTAGAGGATGTCGAAGGCACAGCGAGCTTTTCCTCTGGGCCATCCCAGTTGGCTTATTGTCACCTGCACTCTGTTGCTTTGCCTGAGCATTCGGCATGAGAGTGAAACTCGCGGAGGAAACCTGCCTTCCACGAGAAAAACACCTTCGCGCCCAGAGCAGCACCTGTGCCTGTGGCGCTGTCTCCTTGCTCCAGAGCAGCAGCGCGACCGCTCCCGGCTACGTGGACGCTGCGGACCTGCATGACATTCCGAGAGCACTGCTGTGACCGCCATCACCTGAGCCTGGCACCTGCTCGTGATGCCGCTTACACCCGGTGCAGGTCAAGGAGTTGGTAGCTGTGGACAGCATAGGTCTCGGGAGTGCAGTTCGTGGGTGTCACACGGTCACATGTGAAGTGTCCCGTGGCTGTGGTCCCCCAGCCGGACTGGCCGTCAGATGCAGCGACGTTGCTTTTCATGCCTTTCCAGCCGACCATGCTAGGCAGCGCTTCGTCTTTATTTACGTATTTAAATCGTGGCGCTCACCGAGTAAGCACACGGGAAAGGCGGTTCTTATAAAGGAACGCTCATCCCTTCGGCACTAACTGCAGCCACCTGGAGGTTGACGACCCGTGCATCTGAAGGTGAGGCTGGGCTTCCCTGTGATCGAAAGCGCACCGTGGGCACGCACGGGACGCGCAGCAGCTCTGGCAGAGCCCCGAAGGCGGGGGCCCCCATCTGCCTGGGTCAGTGTCGTAAACCTCCCTGCCGTCCTCTGGAAATGGGCCGCAGTGTCGCTGACAGCAGAGCCAGCTGGTCTTGGGCTCTGCCAGACTGGACACACCTTCATGTCATGCTTTTCCTCGCAGAGAAGCGTTTCAACAGCGTTTCTGGTTCTGAGGAATCGCAGCTGAGCCAGTCTGTCGCTGCTGTGCCTTCAAATGGGGACGTGTCTGCGGTCCTTACGTCCTCCTTTGACTCACGCCCCTCTCCCTGTGTGTGGACGCCCTCTCCCCACTTGTCACTGTGGGGGGGCCGCTCCAAGGGCGTGAGACTTCGGAGAGCACGCCCACAGCCCGTGCGTGCGCGTTCCCCTCCGGAGTCGCGTGCTTGCTGACAACACAGACACCGAAAGCGCCGGCGCTGGGCGGCGGCCACCCAGCCCCTTCCTGACGGTGGCAGCTCGTCTCAGCTCCTCTCAGCTCCGCTGTCCTCATTCCTTCTCCGCAATCTCACTGTTCGCTCCGGGGCAGGATTTGCAGGGGCTTAAATGGCTTTTAGTGGGAAAAAATCTTTAGAGTTCTAGTTTTAATAACAGGAATGTTGTTTATGCTTTTGTATTTAGTTCCTTAGAGAAATAAAGATTGAAATTTAGGTACAAAGCCAAGAACTCTTCGGGGTTAAGCTTCTCATTGATCTGCAAGGACATTTTGTTGAAATCAGGCCCCAGAGCCTTCTGGCTGAGAACCAGGTCAGCTCACGTGCGGTCCCCCCAGCCCCGGCCGGTGTGTCCGTGTGGGGCTGGTCCCCCACGTGACCCTGAGGGGCTGCGGGCCTTGTTCGCCAGCAGATTCAAAGGTGTGTTTCATATTTACCCACTTGTGCTGGTACTGCTTTCTGGATACAAAGAGTGAAAACCTGGGGTGTTTCTGATTTTTACTTTCTGGTGCCGCTTTCAGCAAAGCGCAGGTGGTACCCTCGCAGGTTTTACGTGTGATCAGGGAGCACATTGACCCCAGTGAGGCAGTTGTCACAGCATTTGCTGGCTTGTATTCCTTTGTGTCCTTAAAGTGTTTCATTTGGGGTTCCTGAAATTTTTCTTTGGCACTGTGCCATTAAGATTGACCTGTAGATCTGAATATTTCAAATTGTGACATTTGAACTACTTGGCTTCAGGAGATTTTCACTAGAAATAGTCTCTGGTGACGGAGCCTGCGTGCGCCCTGTTTTCTCAGTGGGGCTCAGAAAATGAACCAAGGTTCCTTTGCATTTAATCAATGCAGAAAGAATCGCTCTATATTTTAAACATGATATAGTTTAAGATCAGACCTTAAATGCCTGTAAGTCTAAAAGGGTCGTGTCCGAGGGGCCGGGACTTAACAATGTCAGAGGCTGAAGTTTTATCGGGTCCGTGACCGCAGTTTAAAGAGCAGACATGACCTGAGTTCTTCAGGCCTCTCTCCTTCAGAAGCTGGTTCGGTGCCTCCGCTGAGCCCTCGGCCTTGTCGCTGTCACCCTCTCGGTAGCAAGCAGGACTTTCCCCGGCCGTGCGGGTCTGCGGTGCTGGGCGGCACTCCTGCCCGCCGCCAGGTCTCAGATGGCCTGGAGTGTGTGTGGCCACAGATGCCTGAGCATCAGGGCGGTTTAGTGGGTCCCTGCCCTGGGCTTGCGAACACGCTCACCCAGGCAGACTGGAGGTGCCATCCCCAGACTCCTTCAGGAGAACCGAAGTTCTCACGGTCCACTATAGCTTTGTGACCCGCCTTCTTTCTGCGAGCAGTTCCTCCTGGATTGTGACAGGTCTTCCATCTTGGAGAGGAAACAGGGCCACACAGGGGGCTGGGGTCGGCACTGGGGGGGACGGGGTGTCGGGCAGAGCAGCCAGGAATAAGGGCACACGGGATGCAAGGCGGCAGCTCTAGGGAGCTGAGTTTTGGAAGTTTGGGAGACCGGTTCATCTTGGCCCATTTTGCTTGTTTTAATTTTGCATTTGCTCTACGGGTAAAGTTACATATTTAAGGTAGCAGTGAAATGTCCCAGTTGCCATGGGGCCAGCGTGTAACACCAAGTCACACAAGCAAAGTGAATGGACAGCATCCCTCCCGTGCTGGGGCGTCAGGAGTGTTCAAAGAAGAGTTGTTTCTGGCTCGTCCTGTAGGCACTGGGGCGCTCGGTGAGAGCCTGGCAACACCCCAGAGCCGCTGCACTCGCATTTGAGACGGATCACATTTCTTCCAAAGCCTGACTCTGCTGAAAAGGCCAAACGCTCAGACACGTCACGCCGAATGAGCCTTGTTTTGTTTTTTCCTCAGCGCCTTCAGCAGTCACGTGACACATCGCCTTGCTCTGCCCGCTGGTGGCGAGGGGGCTGGGGGGGCGCCATACTTAGCATGATGGCGCGCGTCCTGTGTGCTTCATGTCAGCGCCCCTGCGGGCCCACCGAAAGCATTAGGAAACTGACGGACTCGTTCCTGGTTTGTTTCGAAGCATTTGCCTGTCATGGGAGCTGAGTCTGGCCATGCTGGCTGGTGAGCTTCTTGAAGACAGGGTGTCGTGCCACGTCGGCCGGTGCAGCACCCAGGAGGCCCTCAGAGGACAGACGGCAAGGGCCAGCACGCGTCTCTGTGCGTCTCCCTGGCTGAGCCGGTGCCCGCTCACACAGTGACGCCGGCCGCCCTGCAGCCCAAGCACACAGACCAGCTCAGATGCTGCATCTGTCGTTGGCTGGGCACTCCCTGGGCAGTGAGACTGCGGACCAGGCTGGGTCACCCGCTAGCTGTCGCCTGCCTCATGCTCTGCGTTCCTGCCTGCTTAGACAGCACTCGTGGGCACTCCTGCGTGGGGCTGTTGGTCGCAGGGGAACGGCTGCTGCCAGCTGCCAGCATGAGAAAGGGAGCGGACGCGTGGAAGGGCAGTGGCGCTCCCTTTCCCGCCATCTGTCTCCGTTGGCCCCAGAGCGACTCCGGCTCGCTGCAGGTGGCAGACTTAGTTTGTTGAATTAAGCAGAATTTCTGTAGACCGTTCACTGAGGAAGTCCCCTTCACACGTTCTCATCTAAGCCCTCCTGCCCAGCCACACGGCTAACGCAAAGAACTCCCAGACCTGGCGGGTTCGGGGCGGAACCAGCACCTCGCCTTGTGTCCCTGGAGCTGTTTGTCGGCAGTGAGTCTCCCAAGCGCAGCTCCCGCGAAGCGTTTTCCCGTTGGAATCCACACGTTGGGCTCACCCAAGTGCAGCCAGGCCCCGTGCGCTCGCGCGATTCTGTCCACTTTCTCCGTCACTTCAGAAAGCCTGTGGGCATCTAAGTGAATGGGAACAAAATCTTGACTTTTCAAAGTAAGTTACTTGCGGTGTCGCAACACGTGCTGTGGGTGCCTTGCTCACGGACACCCAGGGCCCTCACTGGGTGGCCTGCATCCTGCGGTCTTAGCACTAAGCTGGTGTAAGCGGCCCATCCTCGTGGGACACAGGACCACGTGGCTTCTGAGGGCCCTTAGCACGTGAGCACGTTTCACGCCTGCTGCAGCTCGCCCGCACACGGCGCTAGTGGTCCATCCTCCTCGGAGCTCGTGCGGCCGGCCGAGTCCCCGGGTCAGGTGTGGCGCCTCCTAGTAGCATCTCGCAGTGTCCCCAGTGGGCCTGCACGGGGAACGGTCATGCTCTACACAGTCGGTGACACCACCGATGTGCAGGTGGCTCCCAGGTTCCGCGAAATGAAAGGCCATTAAGCCAGCTTCTAGGATTCTCTTCCAGGGTGGGGAAGAAACGTGCCCCAGCGCAGTCAGCCCCCACGGGAGGCCCAGCTCAGCCTGGTGGCACCTAGAGGCGAGGTTGTGACTCAGTGTCGGGTGCCCCGTGGTCCTCGGGTACGGGGACTCAAGGATACACAGAATACTTGCTTCCCCATCAGGAACGTGGTGCCATCCCATCTTAAGTAACACTTGCTATTTCAGAATCTTTCATGTTCTTTTGTTTTTACTAATTCCCTTTTTCTGAAAAATAATCAGTAGTCATTTCTGTGATCTCTTTAGCTTGTTTTAAACAAAAACTCTTGGACTGGACCCACGATCAGCTGTGAATTCTGGCTTCATAATTTGTTTTGCTCCAGGCAGCCCCTGCGTCAGGTTCACGAAGACCCACAGTGGCAGCCTGCACTGTGTGCTCATTGCCCTCTGGGACGAGAGCCAGGAGGGTGTGGGCTTCAGCCAGCAAGACAGACTCAGAGGCCACCCCCTGGGACAGCCGTGGAGGGCAGTCAGGCTCCTCCCAGCCGCCGGCAAAGGCCTGCGGCGGGTTTGTGCAGGGCACTTCCGTCCCGCAGGGCCTTCCCGAGACCAGACGCCTGCTCCTGTGTCCTCGTGGCTGTGGGGACTGAGGGGCTTAACTGGGACTCTGAACTCTTCCAGCTCGCACACGCCGGGGAAGGCCGTGTTTGCTGGGAGCATGCAGCTGCTGGCTGGGGTCAAGCTGTGCACGGGGCGGGCCCTCACCAACCACCCGCACTATGAAGACAGCGGCCTGCGGGAGCGGACTCGAGCGGTGAGCAGGGGCGCGCGGTGTGGGCTCTGTGGGGGGCCGGCTGCCAGGCACGGGCTCACGGCCCATCGTAAGCGTGCTGCCGAGGCCGTC